TTGACATAATTTTGTGATGCTATGAAAAACCTTGAGGTCTCAATGTATATCTTCTATCCACAGTAAGGGTGGGTGGCACCAGCAAAAATGTTTTCATAAAAATTACTGTGTCATCTAATTCCTTGGCTTTGTACAATCTGATTTTTCATTTCACATAATTGTGCCATGTTGTGATATATCTTGTGATGTTCATAACAAATTTGGATATCATTAGATATCATTATACTCCTGACAAAAGTCTTACAGTTTTTCACCAACTCGGCAATCTGTCTCAATTAAGTTACACTTCACCTCCTGTCATGTTACTGTTAACAGGAAAAGTTCAAAGGAAATGTATTGTCGTTGAGTGAAGTTCTCAAAATAGAACTATATTTTACGATAATAGAATAGTCAGAAAACTATCACATTACACTTTACAGAGATTTATGTCTACATGTACATGTATATACTGTACATTCACGGCATTGATTTAAAAAAAAGGTAAAAGACGAGTTTCTATACTCTCAAATGCTAATTTCATATAATATTATAATTTTTTTTTTATCAACTTAAAAAAAAAATCGTTTTAGAGCTTCATTTTTTACCTTTCTAAATTGTAGAGCCCTACAGTAGTCATTTTTAATAGTACCTACATGTAAGCATACTAGAATTCTTATTTTTATTTTCAACGCAATGCTTTAGTAAAAAGAGAGGCTGTCAGACACACTGTTTTTGAACTTCGCTCTTCATGTCTCACAATGCATGTACACATACAGTTTGTAATGCATGTCATGAGAATGTATAAATGAGGTTAAGTTCGGATTGTAACACACACATTCCATCAAATACATTGTGTGTTTTCAGACAAAATCTTTGATACTGTGTTTTTGGTCTCTCTTTGAGGAAGTACATTGGCAAGCCTTGTCAATGTAAGTTTGTACACAGATGTTAATTCTGATCTCCAGAATGGCAGACGTGATATTGAGGAAACCTTGAAAAGAAACCTGACATGTGGGTACAATTAAAGGTCGGGTGATATCCAAATATAAGTTGATTCCTGTTGATGTGCAGGGCTGCATACAACTCATAATTTGTTATTCAAACATCTAGATATATTTCATTGATTTCTAAATATTTTAAAAAATAAATTTCTCAGACCTGCTCAGACCAGCGGAGCTCCTTTCAAAGTGGGTGGGGGGAGGGGGGGGGGGGGGGTAGACCAACGCAAAAGGGCACTTTCTGGGGACAAAGGGGCACCTACAAAGGGAAACCTCAAAGTGAAAATACACCATTTTTAGACATTGGTACAAACCCTACATTGGGATTACATCATCAGGGATGATTTCAATATTTGTTTTTCTCTTTATATGATCCAAGATACTGCTTTTAAAAGCTTCATACTATGCATTTGGGTGTGAGTGTCTGAATATTTCTTTATTTCTTTGGGAGCGGAGCAAAATGAGCGAGAGCAATAAGTTAAAGATTTGTGAGGTCACAAAAAATTACATCTTATAAAGAGAAAAAAAAATCCTGATGGGGTTGTAGAGGTGTCGTGGATGAGTGGATATGTCACCGAACTGTGGATTATGAGGTCAGCGGTTAAAGTCCCGCTGCGGCACAAATGTCCTTTAACCAGACATCAATGTACATTTGCCACACTCGACCCAGGTGAGGTAAATGGGTACCTGGTAGGATTATTCCTTGACATGCACTGTGCGTCGATAACAGCTTCCGGAGCTAAAGCTAGGGTAATAATTTTCAAAGCTCTTTGGAAGCGCATAGAGATGTTATATAAACAGGTGTATAATGTGATATGAGCTATACAAGAACCAAATATTATTATTATTATCATTTAGGCACAATCTAATCATGAAAGACTTTGATAAGAAAAAGCTTTGGGTGAAATTAAAGAAAAAGATGCTCTTAGTCACTTTAAATTAGGAGCACATTTGACGGAAGAAGGAAAAAGTGGCACATATCCAAAGGGAAAAGGACACTCATTAGAAAGAGAAAAAAATCACTTGTCAAAGTAAAAAAGTGAATTAACAGAGATGAAAAGGGCACTTATAACAAAGGAAAAGAGGCAATTATCAGAAGGAAAATGGCAGTAATTAAAAAGGATAAGGGGGAATGTGTCAAAGTATAAGGGGCACTCATCGGAGATGAAAAGGGGCACTTAAAAGAATGAGAAGAGGGCCTACAAAGGAAAAGAGGCACTTGTCAAAAATATAAGGGACACCTCTCAGATTTGAAAAGATGCAATTATAAGAGGTGAACGGGCACGTATCAGAAATGGTAATGGACACTTTGTGTACCTGAAAAGGGGCACTCACCTTGTGATGAACATGGGCACTTTTGAGAATGGAAAGGGGCACCGTATTACAAAGGAAAATGGGCACTTGTTGAAAGAAAAGGGGCACTTATAAGATTTTGTAACATCCATCAGAGGTGCCAGAAGGGGTATTTATGAGAAGGGGAGGTGTCTCTTATTAAAAAAGAAAAGGGGCATTTATCAGAAGGAAAAAGGGCACTAATTAAAAAGAAAAAAGGGCACCAAAGCCTTAAGGAGTTCTTGAAATAGTGGGGGGGGGGGGCACTGTGCCCCCTGCTACTACCCCAGCTCCACAGCCACTGTCTGAAAGAGAGAAAAACCCAACAAAACAAATATGAGGTAGATACAGAGTCAAATTAATCACTAATAGAAACTACATAACACAAATATAGATACACTAACTATCTTACAGGCACACACACATACTCACGCACACCCACCCACACACACCCCCCCCCCCACACGCACCCACCCACACCCCCGTACACACCTCTCTAGTTCTCAATGAATTATATTATATGGTCTTGTTAGCACTGATTGAACCTTCAATGTCCTGGCTCTCAACAGAGGATATTTTTGTGGTCTATTTTCGATGGTGGAACCTTTAATGCCATCTGTCTCTCAAAAGACATTATGTGATCTTTTTTACCAGTAGGACATTCTATGCCCTTTTTGCTCTCAACGGACAATATTTTTCCTGATCCCTTTTTCATTGGTGGGTTGAGTGGTTAGGTATCGATCAGACCCTCCCGATGACTGTCTCTCAAGCTCTACCATTGAACCCTAATCATGTTTACCTGAAGGATAGCCAGTGCATGAGAGGAATACCGGCAATCCTATACAGGTTCTCTGATTCACTGTGTAGTGCTCTGCCCGCCGTCATCGTGTGGTACAGTGTGAAAGATATACACTGAAGCAAGATGACACCTTGCATTTAACGATTGCTCGAGGGAGTGTGCACTCTTGTTTTATACTCACTCCCACTGTATCCACCTCTCTTTCACTCTGTGTCTTTCTATTTTCATCTGTTAAAAGCCAGAAGGATGTTATCTCATATACACCCTGTACAGGCTTTTACACAGAGTTATGGCCTGTCTGACTCTAAAATCGTTATGTACTAGATACTCCTAATAATTCCCCTTCCTATGTGTATTGTCTAGTTGTTTGTCTGTTACCTTTTTCCCTCAATTCCTTTTCTCTTGTCTCTTTCTTACTCTAATTCTTTCTCCCAATCTAATTACCTCTGATTTTCTTTTTCTTCCCACCCTCCCTTCTTCCTCTCATTCTCCCACCTTCTATCTCTTTCCATCTTACTATTAGCTCTTTATTTATATTTTGCTTTCTCTTCCTCTTCTTTTCTCACCCCCCCCCCCCCCCGCCTCTCTCTCTCTCTCTTTTTCCTTTTCTCTCTTTTTCTTTTTCTCTCTCTTTTCATCTCTCCCCCTCTTTTTCTCTCTTTCCCTTCCTTTCCTTCCCCTTTCTATCTTTTGCGGTATACATGTACATATTTTCCAGTCTCCCTCTTTAATCATTTTCCTTTTTTCTCCCCCTTGACTGCCTTGAGTTTTTACCAAAAATTGGCAATTATGAAGGTTTGCCTATTTCGTCCTTTTCAGCCAGACTTGGCCTGCATGGCAATGAACATTCAGCTAAATTAGCTAATGCTTATGATGGCCTTGTCCACCCCCCCCCCTTTACCTTGGATTTGCTTCGGGAGATCATCATTCCTTTTAACCAGCTGACTACTGAATTCTCTTCATCCTATGGGCTTAATGCAGGAATTGCCTGGTTCCCATAGGCAAAGGGTTACTTACATTTCTGTAGAAACTAGAAAGTCTCTATAACTAGTCACATTATATATCAGTTGCAATTGCAGATGTGATACTAAGTTTTCATCCAGATCTTTACCTCCGATGCACTTAAAGTGTGCCATTTTAGGAGATCCTCTTGTGTTAGGCTCAGGATATACATATATATGGGGGGAAATGTGTACTGGTAGTCATTGATATAAAATTCTGCTCTTTCATATGCAATTTAAGGCAATCAGGGGATTAGGGGATGATATACTTTTGTTTTCATATATCCCCTACATTATAATGCATAAACGTGAGGTAATATACATTAGGCTTGCCATTTCAATAAGTGACTTTAAGTATTTGCACTAAAGAAGACTTTATGTAGTATGATTAGATTGAAATTCAATCAAGTGACTTGCTGTGATGCCAACATGCCCTTGATGCTAGATTGCACCTTATCAGCTTCATGCTACACAAAGCATGGCCAAGTATGGTGTGTGATATCAAGCTAATTATCAATTAATCTAATTGGTTGCAATGTGAATGAATTATGTGACCATGGATGAGCTTCACTCTTGTTGAAAGTGATAATAATCATCATGAGAGCTTGAAAGGCGTCAACTTTTTGCAAAATATTGACATCAGGGTGTACCGGTATGTGAAATTTGTTGTTGTTCGTGTAAAAGTTAAGATGTGAATGCTTGGATCATTGACATTGACATTGAATTCTTGAGAAAGAAAATTTGGCGTTGCTACCAATAAATTAATTCAGTTTGGGTAGTCTTGATTAGAGCATTTACCTGAATTTTTTATTTTTGTATCCTGAATACTTGATGTTAATAAATCATTACTGTTTTCAATTTTCTTCTTTTGATTTCTTATGTCTTCCACAGCAACCACAGTGCATACAGATGGAGCCATATTACGACATTGCCAAGGAACCGTTTCAAGCTCGCTAAGTGACTCGTCGCTTCTCATCATCTCTCTCTCGTCAGCCATGCCATCGCAACGGAATCTTGTAACCAGGATTTGGTGCAGACGCTGAGAGTGCATCCAATGTGCCGCATTAAAGCACCCTGCCCTGGGACGCTTCAAACAGCACCGATCATTACCTAAGCTCAAATAGGTACGAATCACAAACGGCCCTGCAATTAGGACGTCACATAATGCGACTTAGCAGCAATTCAAATTGAGTTTGATGCTATTTGATGGCATGGCAACCCTTAAGTTCAAACATGGATAACAAGGGTTGTTGAAGACTTGTAGATTATATTGATTCTGGTGATGCAATTGACTGGGGAGTAATTTACTTCATACATGCTCATCCCATTTTGTTCTGGAGAGGAGCCACATCATCTTCACACAGAATCTGGGTTTGCATCTCAGAGCAAAAATTAAACGCAAAGTTTATTACTTCATCAAAACAAGAGGAGACAGATTTGTTTTTACCACCAGTGACTGCTTGGATTATTGAAGCAAAGTCTTGTGGTCATTGTATGGTGAGTTTCTGCTGATTCAGTAGGGCAGGACATATCTTGGATGTAGTAAATGTGGATGGTGCTTAAGGACTCTATTAATTGCTGTTTTTGTCTTGTGCTACGAGGAACAGGACTGATTGTGGAATAATCAGTGGTTGCTACCTGTGAACATTTTACTCCAACTCAGTACTGGACATTGCAGGACTACTCTCTGAATAATACGACTAGGCCCAGCAGTCAGTGTGTGGGGACGCTCTGCATCAAGTCTGTGCAGGACAGAGTAGTACTGTTGCTGGATTAATATACCAAGGCTTGACAGTCAGTGCTTGTGGACCTTTTGGACATTACAGGACTACTTTGGGAATTATATAAGAAGCTCCAGCGTTCAGTGGACTCATTGTTCTAACTCTGTGCTGGACTGAGCTTTACAGCTCTTTGGAAAATATCATCAAGACCTTGTGGTCAGTGCTTGTTGAATCTCGACTTATTTGTGTTTCTGTCCAGCAGTGGACAGAGCATCTGACCATCAGACAAGATAGGGTGCACGATGGGTTCGTCACAGTCCAACCGTAAGGAGAACCTAGATCTCAATGGGGAAGGTGAGTCCTATTTAACCCCTTATCCACAGAATTTTCTTGTTCCCATTTAGGCTTGATACATGACCCGCCTGGTTCCCGTACGTACGTGTAGTGGTTTAAGACTGGATGTGTAAATCTTCAGTTCAGGCTGCACCGCACTAATAGTGAGTGTACTTACAACATGATGTTTTTTCTTTTTTCTTTGAAGTAGCTTTAGTGATTAACCACTGTCTATTGTCTATTGGGCATCTAACTTTGATAGGATCTAGACTCTACTTGAAAAAAGAAGTTTGGCTGAAAGTTTGGCTAAAATGGCTGAACCAAAGGCACACACAAAGACTGGAAGAAACTTGCAAAATTTAGGGACAAGTATACAGTACATCTCGTTTTACATGCAGGTTGGCTGGTATGGAACTAGATCACATCTTTGTAATTGTGTATCTTTTTATTTATTAGTGAAAGGAAATACTTTAATAATTGAACAAAAAAAATTGTCTCATAAACCCTTAGTTGACATGTAGAGTACACTCCCTGTTTACAAGTGCAAATTTCGTTTTGAGGCTGAATATAAGTTGAAACTATTGATTAAACACTTCAGATGTTTAAAAGTACATGAAATCTAGCAGGCATGTATTGAATGTCTGCAGTACACATTAGATTGGATTAAGGAATGGCTTAATGACTTGTTCTTGATACCCTTCTGAACTTCTCATTTCATTACTGAACATCACTTGATGTCTATAGACAAGGGACTATTATTGATATGAATCATGAAATGAAATGTTAATAAACACAGGATGCACAGCTCCCTCGATCATAACCTTCACGACCTGTTTTTCTTAGTGGCAGCACAGCAGGATAAAGTAGAGAGGAGGGTTAATAAGAGAGAATGATTTGAGATCTTGTTTGGGTAGCCCCATCACGCATTGTTTAGTGTCTCTGGATTGAGCAAGAAATGTTCACTTATGGAAAGCATGAAAACACCTCTGTGTTTTTTAAAACTGAGCACTGGTTGAAATAAAACAAAACAAAAATAAAGAATTCATGGAAATATTCATAAGAGAGTACCAGTCCCTTCAAACAGAGCTACCCCCAAAACAAACAAACAAACAAGCAAATGAAATTTTAACAAACATATACTGAGTGGTGACATGTATGCTACAGTGATTTATAAAGTGAGTCTCTTGATGATATAACAAATGTCTGAGACAGCCAATGTTAAGAATTATCTTTATGGTGTCGCAGAAATATATAACATTTTGCCCTTGGCAAAGACTATGATTATAGAGTCAGTGATGAAAACGGTTGTTAAAAAATGATGAGCTTTGATACATTGGATGCCCAATTTGATACATTGATACCCAAAGCAATTTTCTCTCGTTTGCCTTTATGAAACATTAAAATGATGTTCACACAGGATAATCTGCACTTCATTATTTAGTCGCCAAGAGGGGTGCGCGTCCCCTCTGTGTATTAATAAAGAAGGAGCTTTGCTGGCGCTTGAGGTTGTGATTTATGTAAGATTATCAAAAAGAGTTGTGGAAGGCAACTATATATGGAAGAATCTCATCCATCCAAGAAAGCTGGATCATGGATGCTTTATATGCCCTATTGATGGACCAATCTCCCTGAAACATACATTCATCATGGACCCATTCAAAATGATCATATCTGTGATGCTCTTCGTATATTGTACAAAGTTCATATTCATGTGGTGCCTGTTAGGCTTATATACAGCGCGTCCCAGAAAAAAAGAAACCGAGAATTATCAATATTTTATCAAACCTTAATCACAATTATAATGCGGTCACGTTAAGCCCCACCCAGTTATACCGTTCTAGTCCGACATACTATACTAGTTACAGTTGTACGTCACAAGAAATTTTGTGATTCTTTATCGTGTTCTAGTTTGAAACGATGCCCAGACCCGCGTTTTGGTATACAACGTTTCGTTATACAACGTATCGTTAGTGAGTGTCCACACACACACAATTTCATAGTATAACTATCCCGAAACGGTTTAACCATACCGTTTCGGGATAGTTTTACGATGTATTTGTTGTGAGTGGACACGGGGGTCAGACTCATAGTCATTTTGAACTTCGTTATATTCCTCTGCATACTTTTCATCTTCATACTCTAGTAGACATTGCAGTCATTTCAGGGTCCCCAAGTACAGTATCTTAACTACTGAAATAAAACAAAATAAATAAATAAACAAATAAAATTAAGTTTTCTTTCTAGGTCTACCAGTATTTGTCTTTCTCTATTTTTCTGTGCGTTTTCTTTACTGTATGATTGTGAAAATAGACAGATGCTGTATTTTGAAAATTCCCATTCTATTCTATGGTGAAATATCCTCAATCCATAAGTCAAGGTTTTTTTCAGCAAAAAGACTCGTCATCACACAGGCTATTATTGTACTTCCAATTAAACGCCTTACATCTTCTTTCTCTTTGAAAAGCTAGGTCAACCGAACGTACCCCTGGTATTGTATCAGCATTACTTACAGGTGTATGTAGTCCTGTAAGATGTTTTGAGACAGACAAACCAGATATCTAGTTGACTTTGAATTACGGGGCGCAATTGTTTCCACATTTGTGCACTGAGGGGTTAGAACAATTACGTCTTAGTAGTTTTCATTTTTGCTGACTAATAATTTCAGCATTGTCGTTAGATCATCACAAGAGTTTACTTTACGAGCACAATATAAATTTCAAAACAACAAGATTTTTGCTCAGTTCTTTTAACTGTAGTTGGTACATACACGTTGCAAATAAGGAGTAAATTTAAATCTATAACAGTTCTGAAGATTATATGTCTGCAGTTTCCCTAAATGGATTTGGAAATTTCATAATTTAGTTTTGAATTTTTAAGTATCATAACCCTGTAGCTATGAGAAGACCTGTGAGAAAATAATACCTCTCCATTCCATTCCAAAGAACAACTGCATTCTATATCTTCATAATGACATTTTTCTTGTTGGAAAAAAATGTCAGCTTCATTTTCCTGCAACCATAAAAAAATGTTTTCGAAATCCAGATTAAAAGCCTCCTTCGTTTAGAGACAGAGAATTTATATGCGTATCTTTAAAAACTATTATAATGCACTCTTCCCTCTGACTTTGTCTTTATAAAACAGAGAAATTGTGTCCCCTTGATCGTCAATGTGAACTTTTTGGCTTTTATGTTTTAGTGACTTATTGAAAATATTCTGTACATACAGTTGTACATATATTAGTAAAGATATTATGGCAAATATTAGATATGGTATGTCATCCTGCACCTAAATGTATGAGTGTTCACCCATGTAACGGTGTCGGTATGAACATTCCTGAAACTCATTCCTGTAGAAGCTAATGTAAATTTGGGCTTATGTAAAACAAAACATGAAGGCATTTGCAATACAGGAACAACATTGTAGCATTTGAATAAATTATTTTATCATATGAGGGATTTGTTTTGCTTTAAGCAGGAACATGGCTTGCATGAAAACCAAGAATATAAACTAATACAAGAGTGTCTGAACATGGCTTTACATACGTTAGCAAACAGCTCAGTGTAGCATCAACTTGAGCCTGCATGCAGCTGATGCATCATCTTGATCAGGTCTTAGATAAGCAGACCTAGATACATAAGATGATACCATCCATTCAGAGCTAGAGTGGCTTTAACTCTGTGTTCTAGTATACAAGTTAAGGCCCTTCTGGCTCCAAACAGATGATACGGTAGTGATTTCATGTAGAGGGGAAGTGATACCCTCATCTAATATGCACCAGATCGGGCTCATCATGTAGGCCAGCATGTAGGCCAGCATGTACTGCTTAGAGTGGTCTCTGGGATAAGGAGACTAACTAATACGATTATTTCCACCTGTTTGCATAAATTGTAGCTGATAATAGTGTACTCATGTACGTGTATTGCAGATCTATGAAAATTTCAACATGGAGCTGTGAAGAGTGAACTTTAATGATGGTATGAAAGTAATTGAACTCATGACTTCATTTTAACAGAGTTTTTAACAATAAGATTATATTTGTATAATTGTCTTTGTTTATCATTATCATTTCTTAAGTTTCGCTTGAAGGATTCCTCTATTCAAACAGTGTTGATTAGGAATGTCATTACTGTTCATTTTATGTCCCTTTTGCAGCCAACATCAAATAGAACTTTGCAAGAATTATGAATATAGTCATTGTAAGTCCTATCTGTGAAATTTTAACATTAGCAGTGTCCTAGTATTCAAATATGCAAGGAAATCTGATTACCTTCTGGACTTCACTGTCAGACACTATTGAGTGATTGACTGACATCTTTTTTTCTTTGGTACATACATAAAATGAGCTGTAACAGGTACAGTGTACATGAGCATTTGTCTACATCAATAATCCACTACTTGTAATTGCCAAAATTAAACTGATTGAATCTTTGTGCAGCACAAAACGTACAACCATTCGGTAAAAGGGTTTGAAAATCAAACCATTACTTAGGTGCTTGCAATCACTTAAGTCGATTTGACACTAATGGGCGTTATTTTCCCACTAAAAGACATTTTCAAGCCCTTTCGTTTTGAGGGAAGTTCTAAATTAGTATTGTCTCGCAAATGGTTTTGAATATAACCTTTTCATTTTTTTGGCCTGCAAATGGGACAGAGATGCTTATATTTCATATTTTGCATTTTTCTGTATTATTTCATATGTCTTTTTGAAAGGGTTTCTCTGCTTAATGTGACTCAGTAACATTGTCTCATATTCTGAAAATAAATCCTTGATTTAGCTCATGCTGCAATCGTAATTATAAACATTTAGGTTACTCAGGAACTCCGTGACTTTCACAAGCCGACCGCATGTCTGATTATCAAGATATTTATGATTGGCAATCAAATCAAATTTTGCGTTTTCCTAACAGTTTTTATAACACTACAGTCTATTCGGGAAAACGATTATGATAAAACCGATCACTTAAAGATTTTTACCTTTTGAGGCACTTCCTGATCATTTTGAAGCGCAATTTTTTTAGGGC